AAAATATGTTGGATATTATCTATTCCATAAATATCTCAACAAGATACGATTTTTTTTCAAATTTATATTCAAATTTGAATATTCATTTAAATATGAATTAATCCTCGTCCAGCTATTAAAAAAATCACCTAATCATATTACAAATCCAATTAACAATAAAATAGAAATGAATCTTCTCAAAAGATTCACCTAAAGCGCAAAAATCTTGCGCTTGTTGAGCAAGACCCAGATGTAGTACCAACATGCTGGAGCATCGCTCCCAACCTGTGTCATTTATCTTGCTTAAGGAAAATAAACCAATATTGAATACTTGGAGGCTTCTCCATGTTGTTTTTTTTCTAAATGCATACAATCCAAAGATCCAATCTAATATGAACTTGATGGGGTCGTCTTATTCTTATTAAGTCTGTCTTGTCGTCTCTTTTGGTTTACATTCTTTCCTTCTTCAAGGTGCCCTCGGGTATCATATCTTCTCTTGAATCTATTCTTAATGCATTTTTCTAGGGGAAGGAGGGAGTGAGGAAGTGATAAAAATTTCTTGGGTTAGATGGGATTCTATTTGTTTGAAAAAGAAAATGGAAGTGTTGGGGTTATGGCGTTGAAGGAGTTTAAATTAGCCTTACTTGGTAGGGGTGTTGGAGGATTCTAAATGAAACGAGAAGCCTTTGGTATAAGGTGTTGTGTTCTCGATATGGTGAGGAGAGGGTGATTATGTTTTCGGGGAAGTGGTGGATCTGCTTAGTGGAAGAATTTGAAAAACATATGGGAGGGTATTGGTTTAGACGATAGAGGGTGGTTGCTTGGTAACATTGATCGGAAGATAGGAGATGAATCTTCTACTCTATTTTGGAAAGATCTTTGGCTTGACGGTATTTCTTTGAAGGTTAGATTTAGTAGGTTGTTTAATTTAGCATAGAATAAGATGGCGAATGTAGTACGAACGAACGAGTTGAAGTGGGGGAGAATGGGGAGGCGTGGAAGTGGCGTATGAGGTTGCTTGCATGGGAGGAGGAGTTAGTGGGAGAGTTTATTGATTGGTTAAACTCAACTGTCTTGCATGTGGATGTAGAAGATCATTGGGTATGGGATTTCCATCCTTTTTCTTATAACACGACCAACATTGCTTATAAAAATTTGTCTGAAGTTGACAACAACAACAATCAGACTAATTCTCAAATTTTGTGGTTGAAGGCTGTGTCGCTCAAGGTTTTGATTTTTACCTGGCGTTTGTTACTGAATCATATTCTGACGAAGAACAATTTGGATAGGCATCAGATTCTTGCTTTGAACGATCAAAGATGTGTGGAGAATTGTGGTGTGGATGAAGACATATATCACTTAGTTGTAAAATGCAATTTTTTTGGTAGAATGTAGATTATTATTTATAATTGGATAGGGTTCTCATCGGCATCTCAAGAAAAGTTACTAAATCATCTCTTACAATTTGGTGGGTTAGGTGGTTTTTTTCGAAAATTATCTAGTTGGCTCTTAACATTATTTGGCTTTATGTGATTTTGCTTATTTGACAAAAGAAAAATAGATGTATTTTTTAGAATAAATCATAGCATTTGTAGGCGTTTACCAAACAAAAATTAAATAATTCATTCATGATGAATTGTTCTTGGAACACATTTTTCGCTCCTTTTGATTAAGATCAGGTAAGATTCTATCAATCTCTCGAACAAGGGTATATGGAGGATTTTGTTCTCATTAAGGTTCGTGTTAAACATGAACTATGCATCACTCTCCAACCACACCTTTCTTTAATTTTACCTTTTGATCGGTTTTTATATGAACAAATCATGTTTGTACCTTACCAAGATTTTCTACAACATGCTTGGATATACATGCAAGTTTACTTTCCAAACATTATCATCCCCCATGAGTTTATGTATGCAATGCTGCCGTTTTTAATGACATATGTTTGGGATGCACAAAGTTTACCTTCTGGCTTTCATTACGAAAGTCCTCGAATTCGTGTTTTTTCTTTGGATTTGGATATTTTTTTCAAAAGTTATTTGGTCGGTATGAGAATGTTTTCATCAATAACATAATTGCGAGGTTTGATTTCATTGGAGATGCACAATTAGAGTGAATTTGTATGCATGTCTTCTCTACACGCATAAATTAAAATGGCAATGTCATTGTGAGTCAACAATTATAGATATGTCAATAAAACATATATTATAATTTAAAATACTTGTACTTTTATTAAATAGAGATACATGTAACTTACCAATAAAATAAATGCCGAAAAAATTTATGAATCTATGTATTCTTTTTTACTAAATTTTTACCATCATCAAATAGAAATGTATTTACTTAGACTAAAATGTAATTATATAAATTCATTTTCAATAATATATGAACAATAAAATTTAAAATGTAATAAAAAATATCAACATTGACCAACTCTTAAAGTCCATGAGAGTAAGGATAAGAAACAAATATAATAATTGTGTCATATTTTAAATTAATATCAATACATAATAAATGAATTTTAAATTTTATCATATCTTACTCCTTAAGATATGTTTGAATATTTAAATGAATGAACTGGAGCAAACTAAAGTTGAGCAAAATGGAATAAAATTGTTATTATATTGTTTGAAATATTTTATAGTGGAATATAAAACAATTTTGTCATTCTATTTTATCATTTTTTTTAATTAATCCACACAATAAAATATAAGTTGATAACATGTATTCAATCTCATTTTACTCTATTCCATCAATTGAAACACAACCTTAATTAAAACTTTTACATTTAATCTAGACATGAGATAAATTATAAATCAATAAGATAAGATAATTACAAAAACAATTTATAAATATAAATATATTTAAATAGCAGACATCGAGCTATCTTTATTTTTTTAGATATAAAATAATATGTTTTTTCTATTCTTCAATTATTAACTCTATTATTATTATTACTATTATTATTTAAGTTGTTGATTTGTAAATATCAACAATTTGTTTTTCTATCACAAATAATTAAACTCTAACTAAATTACACATTTAATTCAACTAGCACATTCAATTTGAACTATCTCGGGTTATTTTAATTTTTTATTATTATTATTTTGCCCCCACCAATTTTTTTTTTGATTCAGTCCGTACTCTATGTATTGTAATAACAAGAGTATCATTCAAATTGCTTATAACTCAATACTTAACTAACACACCAAGCACGTTGAAATTCATTGTTACTTCACACATCTTCATCTTTGACATTAAACACTTTGTTTCTTGATTGAAAAAATTCTAATACTTCAAATTAATGCACCTTAAATTTAAGAAGAGATGTTAATTAGAATAATATTGTTATATAATTTTAATACATTTATCTTTTGATTAAGTAAAAAGTTTAGGTGAACTGTACTTCGAAAACTCATTAGAATTAGGGCAGACCTTAAAGCTTATAGAACGTTTATAGAAATACTTACAAATTATCTATTAAAGAGATTCTTATATCGAATGTAGAAGTTGAACTCACGACTTCTCAATATGTGAATCAATTCCTTATCAACGAAATCAATCTACCTTAGCTAATTTTAGTATATATTCTATTATTTTTATTCTCTAAGATTTGTTGATTACATTGAACACTTATCAAAGAGGCTTTTTTTTTTCTTTCTCTATATATTCACTATTATTAACAACAATAATGTGATAGGAAATCAATCATATTTAAATGATAAAATTATTCTTGTGAGACGTTTTCCTTTCTAAATTATTTTGTAATATTTTAAGATTTTATAAATTAATTAAAATTATATAATAAAATTATATAATTTTAAATAGTTTTCAAAAATACTTTACCACAACTTAATAAAAATTTTATAAAAAAAGTTATGAGTAACTAAATAATTATATTATATATGTCAGGTAAAAATTATGAAATATGTAACGGACAAAACTAAGCTTATATAAAAAATATATTTAATCTGTTAAATCCTTGAAATTAATATTTATATTTTCATAAATTTTAATAGTTGTTTTATTTTTTTTAATATTCTATTAGTTTTAGGATTTAAATTTTAAATATTACAAAATCACTCGTGTCAAAATCATACACATTGTTAAGAAATAGTTATCAATATTTTTTATAAGTTTAATATCTAATTATTATATTTATTTATTATTTATTATTTAATATTTGAAATTATAATTTTTAATATTAAATCAATACATTTTTTTCATATTCCTCTTATTGACTTATAACTCAACTCATGTCTAGATTAAATGTAAGAGTTTCAACTAAGGAGCAAGATATAATAAAATTTAAAATTAATTTACTATATCTTAATATTTCTTTAATTAGTAAATTAAAATAAAATATAATACAATTGTTATATTTGTTTCTTATCCTTACTTTCAAATGAACTCTAAAAATTGGTCAATATTAAATTTTTTTAGGTGAACATTCTGGTACTTCAAATACCTACCTACCATCTAATAACTAAATATTATATTAATTATTTTCCTATAATAATTTATTGTTAAAAAACTAAAATTTTAAATAATTTTGTTTTATAAGATACCATTACGCAACAAAAATTCATAAATACGTCAGAGTTTTCCTTTTTTCATTACATTCCAACTTGTATTGTTTAATTTATTGAAAATAGGCTGATATAATATTCTTTAGTCAAAATAAATACATCACCATTTAATAATGGCATAAATTTAGTCAAAAAAGTGTGTAGATTTATGTAATGTCGTCATTTAATTACCTATAAAAGTATAAGTATTTTAAATGATAATGTGTTTTATTGACATATCTATCATTTTCATTGTTGACTCACAATAACATTACCATTTAAACTTATGCGTGTAGAGAAGACATGCATATGAATTCACTCAATAAAAAAAATCTGCTAAGATATTATAATTCAGCAAAATTTAACAACATAAGGGAAATAATTATAAAAGAACTTCATAAATTCAATGTACTGGAAAATTCAACAAAGACAATTAATTGCAAATAAAATAAATCAGCCACTGGTTGAAGTTGGCATTGGGTAGCGACACATTGGGCACATGTGACTAGTTTCCAGCCACTGAACAATGCATTCTTGATGATACAAATGATTGCAAGGCATTTTTGTAACTTCCATTCCAACATTGAACTCGAATTGACAAACACTGCACTTTTCATTAGCTTCACAATTTTTGATCTTCACCTTCTCAAGAGAGTCAATGGCTTCTTTTGATGTCGGAACAAATTGTGCCTCTCCAATAGAATCGAACATCGCGGCTATATTATTGTTGAAAACATTCGTATAATCACCCAATAATATTTGAACAAAAACATCCAACCCCACAGGAAAAACACGAATTCGAGAACTTTCATATTGAAAACCAGAAGGAGAATTTCGTGCATCCAAAACATATGTCATTAAAAATGGCAGCATTGTGTACATTACCTCATTGGGTATGATAAAATTAGGAAAGTACACTTGCATGTATACCGAAGCATGGTGTAGAAAATCTTGGTAAGGAACAAATATGATTTGCTCATGTAAAAATCGATCAAAAGATAAAATTAAAGAAGGATGTTGGGGAGTGATGCATAGTTCATGTTTAACACGAACTTTAATCCGAACAAAATCCCCCACATGCCCTTGTTCAAAAGATTGATAGAATCTTACCTCATTTTCATCAAAAGGGGCACAAAATGGTTCCCAATAACAATTCATCATGAATGAATTGTTTAACTTGTGTTTGGTAAAAATGACGGTCTCTTAGAGAGATCGAAGAAACAATAGATAGTTTATTAGTTTGCTTTAACTATTTATATATTAAAATTTCTCTTTATCTATAATAATTATATTTCAATATTTAAATTAATAAATTAATTATATATAATAAATTATAAAATTTAATAAATATAATATAATAAATAAATGCAATACTTATTTTTATGAATGATATATATATATATATATATATATATATATATATATATATATATATATATATATATATATATATATATATATATATATATATATATATATATATATATATATATATTAAAAAAAAGAGGCTAAAATGAGATATATATTAAAGACCTAAATTAGCCACTCTAGCACAAGACATATCGAAGATGACAAGAAGAATTTGAAATTACAATCTAAAACTTTGAAAATAATAAGGCAAAACTAATGTCTAAGTCCTTTAAGTGTTTTTTGTAACACTTTGGTCCTTTTTTAAAAATCTCCGTTACAATAAATTACAAACTTATATATCATTTGAACTAGTTTTTTGTGATGATCACAAATATGTAATTAGTTTTGCGTTTGATTTGGTATTTTGGTCAAATTGATGATTTTCCTTATGTATTTCGTCCATTTTTACCCGATTCTCATGAACCGTAACTTGTTTGATAAATTTGTTTGCATATTTATGATCAGCGTGAAAAACCAGTTCAAATGATATATGAGTTTGCAATTTATTATAATGGAGATTTTTAATAAGGGACCAAAACGTTACAAAAAAACTTAAGTGACTAATTTGATATTTTAAAATAACTTAAAAGACTAAAACAATAGTTTTGCCAAATAATAAACAACAAAAAATAGACTTCATAAGAGTTAATAAGCAAGTTAAATGATTTAACCTCTAGAACTGGTAATCATAATTAAAAGTAACATATTTCGACTTTAACCACCAAGACGATAGAAGTTTTACCCTTTCAGATAAGGCTTGCAAATGTTCTGCTTTATTATTAAAAATACGTCGTTTTTTCTTTTTTCAAATAACCAAAATCACATAAAGCCAAATCGTGTTAAGAGCCAACCAGATATTTTTCAAAAAAACCACCTAACCCACTAAATTGTAAGAAATGATCCAGTAACTTTTCTTGAGATGCCGATGAGAACCATAACCGATTAGAAATAATAGGCTATAGTCTACTAAAAAGTTACATTGTACAAATAAATGATATTTGTCTTCATCCACACCATAATTCGTCACACATATTTGATTGCTCAAAGCAAGAATCTTCTGCCTAGCCAAATTGTTCTTCATCGGAATACGATTCAGTAACAAACGCTAGGCAAAAATCAAAACCTTGAGCGACACATTAACCATAACATTTCTGAATTAGCTTGATTGTTGTTGTTGACAACTTTAGACAAATGTTTATAAGCACTTTTGATCGTGTAATAAGAAAAAGGATGTAAATTCCATACCCAATGATCCTCTATGTCCACATGTAAAACAACTGAAGTTAATCACTCAATACACTCTCCCACTAACTCCTCCTTCCACGCAATCAACCTCATACACCACTTCCACGCCTCACTATTCTCTCCCACTCCAACTCAGTCATTTTCGCTACAGTCTCCATCTTATTCTATGTTAAATCAAAGAAAATACTAAATCTAGCCTTTAAAGAAATATTGCCAAGCCAAAGATATTTCCAAAATAGAGTAGAAGACTCATCTCCTATCTTCCGATCAATGTTATCAAACAATCACCCTCCATCGACCAAACCAACACCCTCCCTTGTGTTTGTCAAACTCTTCCACCAAACAGATCCACCATTTTCCCCAAAACATAATTTCCACATCATCACCATACCGAGCATACTACCATATATCAAAGACTTCTCGTCTTATTTAGAATCCTCCAACACTATTTATCAAGTAAGGCTAAGTTAAACTCCTTCAACCTCCTAACCCCAACATTTCCATTTTCTTTTTCAAACAAATAGAATCCCATTTAATCCAAGAAAATTTTATCACTTCCTCACTCCCTCCTTCCCCCAAAAAAATGCATTAAAAATAAATTCAAGAGAAGACATGATACTTGGGGGCGCCTTGAAGAATGAAAGAATGTTAATCGAAATGGACAAGAGGACAGAGTTAATAAGAATAAGATGACCCTTTGTAGTTCCTATTGGATTGCCTCATTGGATTGGTTGCATTTAGCAAAACAACAACATGAAGAAGTGTGCAAGTATTCAATATTGATCTATCTTACTTAAGATATAAAAAAGACACATGCTAGGGGCGATGCTCCAACATGTTGGTACTACATTTGAGCCTTGCTCAACAAGCGCCAAATTATTGTGTTTTGGGTTAATCTTTTGAGAAGATTCATTTCTATTTTATTACTAATTAGATTGGAAATATGATTAGGTGATTTGTTTGATAGTTGGACGAAGATTAATTCATATTTAAATTTGAAACAAATCATATCTTATTGAGATATTTATGGAACAGATAATACCCAATAGATTTTGCATTAATTTTGGACAAAATTCAATCACAAATCTATGAAGAATAGTTGTTGAATGTCAAGCTTGCTTAAAATTGTTCATAAATTATTGGCATTTTTCAACTCTTTTGTGTTGTTTTGTTGGATTTACTCCATGATATCATGCTATTCTTCAATATTGTTGAAAATAATTTTGGGTTCTTTGATTTGTGTGTTAATGTGCAGAAATTAGGCATAAAAACATCAAAGTGTAAGACACCGGCTATTGGACAAGGAAGCCAAAGGAAGAGAAGAATTTCAACATGTTCTTTATGCGAACAGCCAACGAGGAGTGCCAGCAAATGTTTGCTATGCGAATGCATGGCGAGGTCCCAGCAAACCATCTCAGAAAGATGGCAGTAAGAAAAGAGCAGTAAGTTCGCTGGGCAAACAAGCAGCGAATATTCGCAGTGGCAAAGTCACAGTAAAGGGCCAACGAACCATCCCAGATTGAAGTCAGTAGCTAAAGGGTCATAAGTTTGATGTGCGAACTTGTAGCGAGGTAGTTCGTAGTGCGAAGAACTGCTCGTATAGCAAACTTCAGATTATTCTCAAGAGTGATTTAACTATTCAGAGGCACTTCAGGTGCCTAAAAACGTGCTCGCTAGGCGAATAAATGGTTCGCAGTGCAAACATGACTGATTCTAAAAGTACTATATAAGTACTTTTCACTATTTTGGGGGAAATAACCCATTTTTTTCACACAACAACTTCATTTCTCAACATTTCTTCATCAAAAGGTGATATTTTGCAAATAGAAGCTGAATTCACATATGAGTTTGATTCTTCGACGTGGATGCCCATTCATCTTCTTCCAAGACTTGTAAAGCAAGATACCATGGTTATGGGTAGCTAATTTCTTTTGTATCAAAGGTAGATGTAGTCTACCATTAGCTTGTATGTATTTCTTTTGATTGGCCTTGTATGTGAACAAGTGATGATTAATATATGATGAATACTTTTGCTCTTAATGATCCATTCTTGTTTTGTAAAACTCTAGACATAGATTTTTTAAAACTTGACCTAAAATATTCATCTATCGGTTTATAGATTGGAGAAATCGGTCTATGGTCGATAGTTACTTTGTGTTGCACTTAAAGCTTACTATATTGGTTGTTATATGGAGAAATCGTGTAGCGATGAATACGATATTTCTCACGATGCCGCTCTAGACATAGACGGTGTTGAGAGAATGTGTGACGATATTAATCAGATCCGACTTCACACACAAGATTGAAAGAATACGTATAAGTTAGGGTAGATGAAAACTACTTTTGATATACTTTGTTAACAAAATATTTAAACTTTATAAGCTTTGCTACTAAAAACGTGACAATTTTATGAAAAAAACTTTGAAAACCCTTATTCTTAAAACAATAGACTGTTGAAAGGCAATCATCAAAATATCCTTAATCCTGGTGGAGATGATAACAAAAATCCCCCTTTTAATTATGACTCGAACAAAATGGCGTTGTTGCCGATGATTGTTGATATTGCAAGCATTGCAATAGTTTATTGATTTAAGAACTTTGTATTGTATTCTTACCCCTGTTACTTTTCTTGTGTTGCTTAATTTGTTTGGTTAAGTGTGTAGAATTTGTTTATTCAAGGGAGTGTACCTGTAGACCAACTTCTTTTTGATCCTGAGATTGAAAGAACTGCTCGTAGATTCAATAGGAGAAATAGGCAGAGGAAGCAACTTGCCCAAGAAAGACGAGAGCATAGAGAAGCTTTTACATCTACACCCATTTCAATGCCAATCATGGCTAGACCACCACCACTACCACCGCCACCTCCTGCTTCAACTCCATGTACCAACAGCAAAGGCATAATGCCTAGATTGCACGCAATGCCCAAAATGGGAGGCATTCAGAGATGAAAATGAGAATTCTTGTGCTTCTATACCAAAATCCTTTTACTGGTATGGACCATGAGGAACCATTCACCCATCTCACCAAATTTTATGAAATTGCGGGTGCAACTGGAACGCCAGAAGCTAAAGAGGATTCCTTATTTAAGAGACTATTTCTGCATTCCTTAGTCGGGAAGGAGAATGAATGGTATCTTGATCAATCAACTTTAGTGATGAAGGATTGGAATTTATTGGAAGAAAAGTTCCTTGAACGTTTTTCCCCCACAATAGATTTATGGAAACAAAGATAACAATATCAGTGTTTGCTAAAGGTGGGAATGAATCTCTAAACGAAGCTAGGGAGAGGTTCATATCCATGTTACAAAAATGAAAAGGTCACGGTTTTGATGAATTAACTCAAGTGCACATCTTCCAAAATGGTCTCCAATCGGTTCACAAGACTTTGTTGGATGCTACTTCGGGTGGTTCATTAATGTCCAAAAGCACTGAAGATGCGATTGCTATTATTGATAGGATGGAACTCAATGATCATCAAGGAAATCAAAACCGTGGCACACCTTAAAG